TAAGTTCATTTAGTGCACAGGAGGTCTTGGCAACCATTGGGGAGAAACTGTGTGTTGAGCTGAGTCAGTGTCTAAGCCAGCATGGCTACTCTCCATTCTCAGCTGACCGCAAGAGCGCTCTGAAGGGGCAAATTTCCGCTGCCATCCAACCAGACAACACAGTCCGCATGCTGATGGGTAAGAGCACTTACTTCTTACTTCCTTAGAGGCAACACCAGCGGTGCACAGTTCAGTGAAGGTGTTTGTCAGCGACAGTTAAACTCTCTTCTCTCCTCTCAGAATCTCGGGTTCACAACTACCTTCTGGCTTCCCTGGAGTCCAGCCAACATAAGACCCCTCCTCCTCTGCCAGGAGGTCTGGCTCCAGTCAGCAAGGAGCTAAAAGAGCTTGCTGTTCACTTCAGTCGCCTTGTCAACTACAACAAGCTGGTCTTCTCCCCATTCTATCAAAAGACCCTGCAGAAAATACTGGCACCAGGGGAGAGTCCCGGCACAGACACATAAACTCTGCAGGGAGGGAGAAGAGAAATGTGGAGAGCAGTCTGTGATTTTTTGCAGTTTCCTCTCACTAGTAACGGTTAAGATTTAAAGAAAACAGTCACGGGAGGTGCCCAGAGAAGTATGCACCTTAAACCAAGTCGATTAGAAAATAGACTCACATCTCAGTTACATTAATCCACAAAGTTGTTAGCTTGGAAAAATGTCAAACCTCATATTTGTGACCTATTAGCAGCTGTCTTGGATGAGCCTGTATTCAGTATTATAGCATGGCAGGGTATCATTCGGAACAGTTTAATACCCAGAACTAATATTTTGGGGTATTCTGCATCTTTACCATACGTGGTAGAGTCCTTATGACTTAGTTTGCGCAATATTCAATTAAAGAAAGAATTCAGGAAGATAAAGTGTCAGCGTATGTATCATAAAAGTGTCCCAAAGTAGGAAGATATAGGATCTGAAAGAAGTTAGCTGCTGTCATTACCAGCAAATTAAACTGCTGACTTTACAATTGAACCCCCAGGTCTCCTGTTCTTACACAATCCTTTTTCCTAATTTAGGAAATTCCCCCCAACATCCAACAAGCTCCAGTGCTGCCCCCGCCTGTCAGGAGCTGCCAGGAGATGTTATGGTATTTCACAGATGTGTTTGCTTTATTACATTTATCAAAAAAGAGCCACAATCTCTACTTAGAAAGGGTCATTTAAGTATATTTGAAAGGGAATCTGTTTACTCAGGATAAACAAGTCACTGAGTATTTTTAAAACGAATTTGTGGGGGTGGGGGAGTGTTTTAGTGAATCTGCCTGAATGCTCCTTCCTGTTAGCTCCTGACAGGTGAGGTGGAGCTCTTCTAAAACACTGGCAGAGAGCTTCTTGATGAGTTGACAAAGCTGACCCCTTCAGTGAGATATGTGATGGGTAAAAGCCTTAAAGTATTTAGATAGCATCAGTACGTTACGTTTTTTTTAACTTACTGCTCGTGGCACCGTTTAACTGGCACTCTAAGCAGTTGTGTAGCTCACACAAGCGAAAGAATGAGCAAGACAGCAAATGCCTGCATGCTGTCTTTTACACTGGAACTGAAAGAGAATACAGAGGGTACGAAAACTATACACCTTAATCTTTTTGTAGCATTTAGTTCATGCATCTGTAAGTACTAGTGGATTTTTTTTTTAAACAGACAGGGGACTCCTTTCATTAGCTTCAGAAATATGTACAATAACCCTGCTAAACAAATTCTTCACTATAAAGTCAATTAGTTTCCTTTAATGATGAAGGTTGGACTTAAAAAACCAACAAACAAAAAGATGATCTGAATCTCTTCTATACCTGCTCACAGAAAAAGAAAAGGAACCGTTTATCTGTTGGAAATAACGGTGTGCAGACTTTTTGTACCCGCAGTAAGTGAGATAGTTTCCAGCATATTAGATCAAATGAAAATAACCTGCATTATATGTTGTACTGTAATTTTTACTAAGGGACTTGTGTTGTTGACCAACTCGAACTATTTTAATTTAACTGATGTTTACGTATTGATTTTTTGATTGTTTTTAAGAAGCTGGAACATTTCATTTTAACAAGCACTTCTCGTTGGGGTTTGGCTTTTCTCGTGCATATTTTACAACTTACCACACAGCTGGTTGTAACACTGTTTCACTCCTCCAGGCAGAATGACGTCAGCCATTCCCCAAATGAATAACACTCTGACTGATCACACTGACTACACTTTGAATGTTCGTTGAACATGACAATAAAGCGTTACGTCCCACACAGCAGTCTGTGTGTTTATTTTTGAATCCATCTTCACATCAAAGAGCTTGATTGCGTTCATCAAAAACACTGTGAGGGAAATAAAACGTTTAAAGATTTTATAATAGAGCTCTCATTATTAACTCCAATAAGATTTGGTGCATTCTTCTGTGTATCGCTAGGCTGCTTGCATGCAATACACTTATATAGCGGTAGGTGGCGCCAGATCTCAAATTTAAAAACCAGTACAAGGCGTTGCGTTTGTGCAATAAAAAGCGTGCGATCAAATACTTGCATAAGAGCAATTTATAACCAGAGGGAGACTTGTACTTATTCTTCAAAACAGCGTGTGTTTGAATTAAGTTTTGTTGGCAATTATGACCACTGTTTTAATGTTTTTGAACATGCCTACAAAGAAACCAAGAAATAAGTGCAACAGCATGATGGGAGCATGCACTTTGAATGCTTTAGAGCTGACTAAGTTCGCACTGTTGTAACGCTAACATGCATTGTCTTGTCCTGAACTGCACTGGGGTGTGTTTTGGCTAATCCAATAGCTAACTTGTTTCACTTATATTATGACTGCCTGGCTGCCATTTTGTCCGTACTTAATTACTACTAAATCTACATAGAGTAAGCTCTGAACGTTATTGGACAATTATAATTTTTTTAAATTTTCAGCTTTAATTTAAGGGTTTTAACAGAAGTGCAGGCCTGGCATAACATATCAAGGGAGGTGGTGCACTTTCAAGCAGTCATTGACTGCAAAGGATTTTCAGCCATGTATTAAAAACAATCTTCATATCTAAAATTATACACTATGATTTTAGATTTTACAGTTGCTTTTAAACCTTTCAAGAGGAAGGAATAACGAAAGAAAAAGGCCGACATTCCCAAAGAGTTCATGCAATATTTGAATTAAATTCAAATATTCTAAAAGTTAGTCAAAAACATTTGTTTTCATACTGTTTACGCCAAATCCAGACCCTACCATCTGAACGTCACAGCATAAATTTAAACTACAATTTTGTTGAGCTTGTGCAAATTGTAGCCTATCTGATAGATGTGGCACCCAGTGTGGACTTCTGCTGTTGTGGCACATCTGTCTCAAGGCTGGACTGTTGTGCATTCAGAGACGCTGTTCTGCATGGCTTGGTTATTTGAGTTCCTGTTGCCATCCTATCAGCTTGAAGCACTCTGGCCATTCTCCTCTGACCTCTGACATCAACAAGGTATTTTTGCTCACAGAACTCCTGCTTAGTGGATATTTTCCCTTTTTTGGACCGTTCTCCAAAAACCCTAGAGATGGCTGTGTGGGAAAATCTCAGTAGATCAGCAGTTTTTGAAATACTGAGACCAGCCCCTCTGGCACCCACATCCATGTCACACTCTTAATAAGTCACTTAATAAATCACCTTTCTTCGCCATTCAGATGCTCAGCTTGAAAAGCAGGTTGCTACAATGCAATGCTATTTGGCTTATATATTTGCAGTTGAACAGGTGTACCTAATATGATGGTTACACTCACTGGACTCCATGACCACACTGAACAAAGCAGCTGAAATCCAAGAATATATTAATACCACATATTAGCAGCTACATTCTGCAAAGTATTATGAAGTAATGTGCAAAATGACACTTGCAATTATTGCTTTCAATTATTCTGCATCAATATACATGTGATCTGATTCCCCCAGCTGTATGTATACTAACTGTGGATGTGATGGAGAAGAAAACAAAACATTTGGATTTACATTTTATTTAAGAATTAAACAACAATTAAACATCTTTGAGTGTTGTGTTTATCACTTTGGTGTGCAATCCAGTTATTACCGATGAGTGATTCTGTTTGATTCCCTAAAAAGACTCAAAAATAGCAGCACACAGAAGCTTCAGCTGATCACCGCTAACACAAAAGGCAACTTTAATTTAGGACCAGAGAACCAGAAGCAACCAGTACTCCTGTGTTGGTGTATTATTACATGCCACCGACTGTCCTTTGTGCCATTTTCTTTGTCACAGCTCAGCTAGAGAGTGTTTTATTTAAACATGGGGATCATGCCAGCACAGTGAGCTAGAATGAGCTAAAAGAAGTATAAACATTATCAACTGACTTGTGTTGAACATGGGGGCTGATGAAGCCATGCGTGTAAAAACAAAGCATCTTTGTTTTGAGTGGATACAAATTTATAGTACTGTAATAAAGTTCAAAAGATGATGAAATGAACAGACTGTTAAAAACAAGTTTTAATTCTGGCATATCTAAACAGAAATCAAACGTTGCAGCTCAGTCAGTGTTTCATGGAGACAGCACTGTTATTATTTTACTGTCCCCTCCCTCTGCCCTCCCCAACATTCCACACATGCGGAGAAGCAACAAGCTACCGAACCAGCAGCAACAGCTAGCCGCCCGCCAGCAGCTATCTCCGTGGGGGACGAGGCGTATTAACATGCAAAAGTTTAGAAACACGGATTCCTTGTCCTAAGCAGGCACAAGAGTGACGTTGGGCGCAACCCGAGACGGCTGTGGAAACCATGGGTCACGTCGGGCTCTCGTAATAGATAGTTATTTGCGTTATTTAGTGCTTCAAATGTGCGAAAAGTCGCTCGGTGTGTCCTCGTCGTTGAACAAGATGGCAGCAGCAGCAGGAGCAGCACCGTTGCAGGAATCGACTGTGGTGCGGGTCCTCGTTGCTAGCCAGCTCTTTCACACCCTGGGCGATACGATTTACTGGCTTTGTTGAAGGTATGTCACCTTATCTGGCAAGGCTGGGCGTCAAATGGACTTTGTGTGCTGCGCTGGTGTTTGTTTCATATGTCCCTTTAACGTTGACAGTACTTCGCTCATGGCTAGCTTGTTTGCTAACTGCGGCTAACTTCGATTTGTCCCCTGTAGCTGGAAACTGTTGGCGATAAAAACGTGCTTAATTAGAGCTAGGGCACACGGTAGCTATTCAGGTGTGTGGTTTTAGTGTGCCCTTTCATGTGTGTTCATTTTTAAGTAACTTTAGCTATGCATTTTGTTAACTTATGCTAACTTGAAAAAGTTATGTACGAAAAAACGACTTTATTTGACACATTTTTGTCCCTTAGTAAAGATATAACACCTGTAAAAGTTCGCACTTGTATTTTTGAGTGAGTTTGAGTAAATTACTTTGCTGCCTGTCAGTTTATAAGTTCCAACAGGTGTCTCGGCTGGTGTTGCCCATCCCCCAAACACGTACACACACACAGCCTCAGGCACACATCACCCTCCCCGTGTGCTAACATACCTCTCTAGATTGATCAGTAACAAACTGTGGGGTGTTGTAAAAGGACGCTAGCTGGACCCGTGAGCACATACAAACACGCAAACACTTGTGTGTGTCGTGGCTCTCTATTTCAGGCTTGGGTCTCGTCATCCTGTGGGGATATCAGGCTACCTAAGCCTGGCAGTGAGAAGGCAGAGCAGCACTGGCAGTGTCGGTGGCCCCCAGAGACTGGAATGACATATTGGCAAGCGTAGGAAGGTGGAGATGTTGGCATCAGCCATATGGTGGTGTCGCCTTTTTTTTTCCTGTAGCACCATCAGATTATTTTTAGTGTTTGCTAAATTTGCTGCTGTAGTTGTTGAATGAAGAAAGGTAGCGGTGAGGGAGGCAGTGGAAAAATATGGGTTTGGTTTTAGACTACAATGATGTCAGCAAGAATTTTAATTACAGCCACACTCCACAGCTATTTGCCAGCTCATTTCTGCTCTGAGTAATATTGTTGTTAACCAGAGTCTGAATACAGATCTATATTGAGAGAGAAAAGTGTGGTTGCAAGTGTTACTGTCCATCAGCAGTTTGTCTAGTGAAACACATCAGCCCTGCTGGTAATAAGAGGTGTGTTTTATTTTAATGTTGACTTTGAGGCACACCCCTCTGCTTGTCTCAACCTGCATTGGCACTTGGAATGAAATTTTGTGCTTAACGCAGCCGGCTTCATGAGCGTCAAACTGGAATCACCTGAGTCCCAATGTAACCCAGCCAAACACGGGCATTCAGGAAGTATGGCTGCAGCCTTTGCCTATGCCTGTTATCGCGGTGTACAGACTTGCTGCAATGAAAGGAAAGTTGCAGGAAAAGAATAAATGAAGGCAAATATTTTATAGTAGTGTGTAGCATTAGACAATGGGATGTTAAAATATGTATGTTACACAATGGCTAACACTGTTCTCTAATCATATCCTATTTGGTGTAAAACTAAATCAAGCATGTTTGTTCTTTGGCTGCATAATCAGTTTCCTTTGTTTGTATATTCCTAACTTCCAGGGAGATGTGAGTAATGCCAGCAGTGCTTCATTAAGGTCTGAATAATTAATAATTCGGCCTAATATGTCCACTCTAGTCAATGATTTAACTATTTTGTGGGACAGATGGACATTGCTCACTTAAAAGAGTTTAAGGGTTAACAAAAGTCCTTGTTCAGCTTTGGGGGCATTAGGTACTTTTTCAGTTTGGAAGAGAAAATAAAGGATTAATTAAAAGATTGCTGTTTGTTTTCAGATATAAAAACGGATCAAGCCACAGTAGTCTTACCTGGTTGATTTCAACCCCACTCAGTGTGGTGAGACCCTCTTCTTATTCCACTTCTCCACCAGTTAGTCCTTGCTCACCTGATCTAGTCTAAAAGAAACCTGATACTGGCTGGTCAGAGCCCAGTGGTCATGGAACAGTCCTAATCCTATCAAGACAACTTGAATTACACTTTGCTGAAAGTTTTTTTCCCCCCAAAAAAGCCTCCTGCCCATACCCCATCTCTTATAAATTCAGTTACCCAATAAAAACCATCAGTGAAATTTATGCTTTAGATTTCCATAAAATTATACTACCTTTCTGTCTTTTTGTGAACATTGAGTACACATCCATGTTGTTTGAATAGGCCTACATCTAATTTGAATTTGATTTGAACTGTCAGCTGAGAAAACTGGCCTAAACCTTGGTCTATAACGTCAGTGTTATTTGTGATTTAAAGCATGTAATCCAACTCAACAAAGCATCTAACATTAATAAACATTGTAGATTGTGCTCCAGGGCTATCACAGTATTAAATTTTCACTCCACAATTATTTTGGTAAAAAAGAAACACACCAAAAAAGATATCTGTACAAAATCTTTAAGAAAAAAAGTCAGTATTCTTTTAGGCGGCTCTATAACTGAATGTGTTTGTTGTCATTTTTTTTGGGAAATTAAAATTGAAATCCGAGTGGATGGAGGTGATGAGTCTAACTGTAACTCTACCAAAGCATAAAAACAGTTTGAGATAGCCTATTTGTGCTATAGGCATGACATGAATATTTAATACTTTAATACTATCAATACACAGTTATCATGACCCCCACACTGTGTCACATTGGTTTCTAACCATGTTATCACACTTTAGCTAGTATACGCCTGGTGTGCTACCACAGTGTTCTGACTTTAGAAACGTGAACTCTTACATTTTTACAGCATAGATCACATTGTATGCTGAACAAATGTTTCCATTAATACATGAACATCAGTAATAGACAACTACCTAAAGTAGAAAGCACTGAATAGAAAAGTGAGTGCTTGACATGAAGATTGTGTAAGTTGCTTGAATGCATGTTTTGGTATAATATGCTTCTAGGATTTGGGAGTGAGGTGTGCCTTAATCAAAGAATCGTTGTTAGATCATTTGGACTACAGCAGTGCAAAGGCATAAAGTAAAGCAGAAGCTACTACAGTTCAGCGTCCTCTCTTACAGATGGTGTTACTTCTGATTTTGGTTTTGATGCTAATCTAAATAAGCACTGTTACTTCAGTATCATTGCCATATTTGTAAAATGTCACTGGTTGATAACTCATCGTGCCTTTATGGTGGATTATTTTCCCCTCCAGTACTGCTTGCAGTGTGGTTCTGCTTGTGTGAAACTGACCCTTGAGTATAGCATGCAGAGACAGGCCAGAGATGCAGCGGGCTTCCCCCGTCTCTCATTTCAGGAGGCCAGTTCCCCTTTCCTGTAATGGTGAAATGATGAGTTAATGTGTATTTGTTCTGGTGTCCTTTGGTATTTTTTGTTTTTTTGTATAAAATCTTGGCTCGAGAGAATGGTGAAGGAGAAGAAAAAACTTTGGTTCTACTCTTTACTCTTTACTTTTTTTGAATGTAGCATTTTGGTGTGAGTTTGTTTTGCCATGCTTTAAATGATTAATGTGGCTTGTGTTTCTGTTCTTTAGGTATGGCCTCACAAGTCTTGGTCTACCCATCACAGATGCACTCAGCTCAAACAAGTGCCTTAGGAACCAGCAGTAGTGGTACCAGCAGACATATAGGTGAAGCCCACCGCAGTAATAACACCAGCAGAGCCTTTCAGCACCGACCACCACCCAAAACCTATGTGATCGGAGTCAACTACGGTATTGCATATCCCAACAACGTTGTCCCATCCTCAGTCGGGGCTGATTCAGGGAGACTGCACGCAGGAATACAGCTCGGAGAAGGGGGGCTGTGGGCATTGCAGACTGCAGGAATACAGAGTGAAGAGAACCTAGGAGAAGGTCCAACTCGGACCCAGGATCAGCAGTCTCTTTGCCAGAGCAGAGGCAGAGGCCCACAGGAAGTGAGGCTTTATAGGGACAGTGGTGGTACTCCAGCAGGAGGAGGCCTGGACTGTGGGCTGCTGAGTAGGGCCTGTATCAGAACGCAAGAGGACGGTGGTAGAAACAGAAGAGTACCGAGGCCAGGAGGATACACCAAACTTTTAGACACAGCTGCCATCCAGAAATGTGAAAAGAAGACAGGTGAAAGTGGAGAACAACTGCAGGGAAACAACTGTGTCGGAACCATGCAGATAGTGGAGGAGGTATCTGCTCTGCCTTCACTTCCTCCTCCGGTGGCCATGTTGCAAACCAACACTGGGAACTTTGCAGATACTGTCAGATTAGGAGGTGGAGGGATGCCTGCTCAACACAACAGGGTTGAAGGTGTGACAGACATTGGAATCAGGGTGGATGGAACTGAAATCAGGCCAAATGGCAGTAACGAGGCAGTGGCTGGAGCTACAGTGACTAGAGCTGGGTCAGGAGATGGTGACTACCAGTTAGTTCAGCATGAGGTTCTGTGTTCCCAGAAGAACAGCTACGAGGTTTTGGAGTTTCTGGGTCGTGGCACCTTTGGCCAGGTGGTAAAGTGTTGGAAGAGGGGAACGAGTGAAGTGGTAGCTGTTAAAATACTGAAGAACCATCCGTCTTATGCACGTCAGGGACAGATTGAGGTGAGGAACTGTGAAATACTGTCTGTTGTTAGTGTGTTAGCTGAAATCTGCTGCTGTGTTACTCTGTGCATGCCCACAGTTTTGTTGCAGCATCACACCAAAACCGAACAGCAGAAACGGTTCAATTTGGCTTTTTTTTTCTCTCTCTCCCATAATCTTTTAACAGCTGGTAGTCTGAGCCTATGTTATTTCCTTTTGTTCCAGGTTGAGATATTGGCACGGTTGAGCAGTGAGAATGCAGAGGAGCACAATGTGGTGCGTGCTTTGGAGTGCTTCCAGCACCGCAGCCACACCTGCCTGGTGTTTGAGATGTTGGAGCAAAATCTGTATGACTTTCTTAAACAGAACAAGTTCAGCCCACTGCCACTCAAAATCATCAGGCCTATTCTGCAACAGGTAAAACAAACTTTTCTTTTCTGCTTTTAGAGCTGGAACACCTAGTTTTTAATGGGCTAAAAAAATGCAGAGCACCATTTTGAATCATATTTTGTATTTGTGTTAATTCCTGCAGGTGGCAACAGCCCTAAAGAAGCTCAAGTCTTTGGGTTTGATTCACGCTGACCTGAAGCCAGAGAACATCATGCTGGTTGACCCCTCCAGACAGCCCTACAGAGTCAAAGTCATTGATTTTGGCTCAGCCAGCCATGTCTCTAAGGCTGTCTGCTCCACTTATCTGCAGTCCAGATACTACAGGTGAGTGCTTTCACTCAATTCTGAATCATTCATCAAGACTCATGGGAGTCATTCACCAGTGGGTGTGGCGTGATATGATAGGCATTCCTGTTCATACTTTGAAAGACATTTTGAAGCTGTTCTAAAATAATTTGCTGTGTAAACTTGCTTTGTTATTGTAGATCAGAATGCAGCCTTCACTACTCCCTGTAGTTTTAATGCAGCATTATCAGTTACCATATCATAAGAGAAGCATGATGTTTAATTTTGAGATAAATGTTTATGGTAAACATTTTTATTTCCTGTAATGTGACAATTAAAGTTTTAGTTTTACTGTAATTATGGGCTTTTAAAAAATTTGAATAGGACTCACATTTGTCAAAAAGGCCCCTAAATATGTTTAAAAAACCAATCAGTGCATGCATCAGACTGAACCCAGCTGGTTTCCAGTAGTACAAAGTGTTCAGAATAAGCTTCACATGGTAGAATATTTTTAGGAAGATCAGATATGTCGCGAGGTGAAATGTCATGGTATTTGTCTTCATAACATGCTAGCACAGTGATTTGACTTATTCCCATGGGTAATGGTTGTTTGTGTGTTTCTCCCTGTTTCTCACAGGGCTTAGTGAGGTCTTGCCTGAGCATTGTGTGTTTAGGCCTTTTCTGTTATGTAATATGACGTGGTCTGTACCAACCTGCACACTCTCATTGGGAGTTCATTGACATGTCTTGGGAGCTGTTTTTTCCCCCTTCTGTATTTGTATGCATTTTTTATGTACATGCCTGGATGTACATCTGAGTAGTTCTCAGTGCATCACGCCCTTAACTTGGCTGATCTTGCATAATGTGCAGAGGAACTGAAATGTTTATATGAGGAACAGCGTCATGAAAAATTTGGCTAGTCTTTCTGGCCTCTGTGAAAGCAAGAACGTGCTTATGAAACAGCTTTCCCAACCTCAGGACGCATTGTTGAACTGAAATGTAGAACTTAATTAAATTGTTAAGCTGTAAGCTTATATGCTCCCATTATGACACAATAAATTTAGGACTTTCTGTACTTAAAAACAAAGTAGACCACAAGGTCGACTAAAAAAACAACCTTGTCTCTCTTTGGTATATAGCCGTCTCATTGTGGACTCGTAGGCTTGTTTGTGACACGTATAATGATATCCAAGCTTGCTTCCAAAGCAAAAGTATTTGCTTTTTGCTAATCACGGGACAGAACGCTGGCAATTTTATTCATCACAGCTCCGGCTAGCAAGTTTCAACAAGCAGGTCATTTGGGTCGGGTGAACTGTTGCAAACTCTTCATTGTGCAATTCTTCAGAGGCTGCTGGGATAAGAGGTATGCCAGCAGCTAATGGAGCACACACACCCAACAGTACACTCTCTGCAGTTCTGATTTTATTGCCCTGTAAGGAACGTAGCACATTATCAGTTATTTCAAAAGCGTTTCTGGTAGTGGTGTTGAAATGGGGATACATAAGTCTGGGTTTCCTGAGGTGAAGAAACTTGTGTAAATGTGCCTTAGAGCACAAACATTCCACCAATAGCTTTGTGCAACTTCTCTATTTTAGAGAAATCTAGCCACTCCCCAGCCCCCTCCTCTACCAGAGCTGAGGTTTAGTGTGGAGCTACAGCTGTTACATAACATAAATGATTTGCTCCTCATTTGACCTGTTTAACTGTGGAGAGTGTGAGTGTGTGTGTGTGTTTCGTCTTGAAGCAGCAAAAGTGAGATCATAGTGCAGTTAAAATGGGCTGCTGGTGGATTTCAGAGAGGTCACTCAGGCCAGTGAAGAATGTGGTATGTGAAAACCCACATTTAGATCCAGGAAAAAACATTCAGACATTCCTGTGTGTGTCTGGGTGTGTTCCTATGTGGTGCCCCTGTCTATAGAACAGCTGTTGAGCCTGGATATAAAATGTGCCCTAACATGCCTGACAAAAATGCCACATGAATGTCACAGAGGGGCTTTGCTGAGTATTCAACGTTTGTATGTTGAGATTTGTACCTTTTAACTTGACCTTTATCTTAGCTGGTGGTGTATGGCTGAAAGAATATGCTGACTCCAGACACAGAAGTCTTATTTTTAAATAAACCAGTACTTCATGGCTTTCTTTTCTTGCTGTATATCCCACCTGCTTTCCATTGTGGGTTTGTGTGAGGAGGAGTTGGCTTAGCCATGATGATAGCTGGTACTGCACGTGCAGTGTGCACTGGTAAGCATGTATGTAAGCTTGGTTGGGGGAATTGTCTGTATTCAAACTGAGATGTCATAATAATATTTTGCAGTGCATTTTGTTTCCTATACGTGTTAATAGTGGAGCAGATGAAAGTAGCTGTTGCTTCTTATTGCTGTTATACAAGACCCAGTTCAATGAGTCAGCTCACTCTGTGCGAGTGTTACGTTGTTTGTAAGTGAGGTTATGTGGAGAGTGGTTTGAAGGATATAGTGTATCATCTCCCATGCTCATGTTACATAATGCCTGTGCTGTATTGTTACCATAGCGAAGCTCTTAATAGATACAGCCTCACCACAGTGGTTGGGTGGATTTTTCTTTTTTCTATTTTTTGCTTAATGTTTTTGGGTTTTCCCTGGATTTTCCAGCACCATGGATAATGGCATTGCCAACAGTGTGGCTTTGATGAGAATTCAGATTTTTAAAACACAAAGAAACCCCAAAAATGGCAGTAAAACTGAGGTCATTTTAATGAGGCCCAGTATGAATGTTTTGTTCCTGGTGTTTACTGGCATGACAAAGAGTCTATATTTATCCACAAAAAAAATGAACAGATTGGTGTTTTGTCTAGTTCTAGTCTTGAGAGCACTGACCATAAATCACATTAGACACTCACTGAAAAGAACTTAGTTTCAAGGCATTCACATATCACCTAATGTCAAAGTGAGGGCAGACAAATAGCATAGCCATAACTGCTTGTATAAGTACATTTGCTTAAATGTAAAGTTAGGGCCTTTTGTGACTAGCTTATGTAATAAGATTATTATTGTGATTTGAGATATTATATTGGGCCGTTAATAGCAATGTTTGTGTAAATTTACGTTGAACTTCCTTTTGGATGCTGCTGCTAATTGCGTTGGTAATTAAACAAAAACTTATGACTCACTGGGTAATCTGTGGTTCAAGTGGTAGCATGTCCAGTAATTAAAGGTTGGGTTTTTTGATCCTCCTGTTTGCATGTTCAAAAGCCTGTAAAGGAATATGCATTCAATTTGGATAGACTTTATAGAATTGGAAATTATATTCTTATAAAGATTATCACATCCATTTTACATAATTTGTGAGTGTGTACATTTTATTTCATCTTTCACTGTCGGCGTCAAAGGCGCAATATGTCAACATAGTTTGGGTTTATCTGGTAGTGAGCACCGTGCTTGAGTTGAGAGGGTGATGGTATGAACTTGAACTTTATTGATTTCCCCTAAGCCTTGCTCTGTAACTAGAAAGTTGTAGCTGAAACCTTTGTGCTCATCATGTGCTTATGTGATGTTGCCATAGTAGCATGACACAGCAGGGCCTGGTGAGGTGACTGTTCTGTGCTGTGGGGGTTGTTGACGTAAAACCACCTCCCACAGTGAAAATGGAGCATTGGGCTATGTGAATAATTCAGCTAAGCAGCTCAGGTAGAAGTAAAGACGGCTATCATCTTAACACAGTTGCAGATCGGGGCAGGGTGTGCAGCCTTCCTTAAGCTAGGTGTGATGTCTTTGCCACTGAAGTGATGTTTTACTTTGGCGCCTAGTGTCGTACATCTTGTACATGTAGATATTCAGATGTGTCTTTGTCGAGGTCTAATTTGACAGAGTCCTAGGCAGATCTTGAGCTTCTTTTCAAAATGCAGTACCCATATGTTGAGTTAAGTTGTTGCCTCACCCACGTTGGCACAGTTTCACAAAGTAGGGCTAGAAGATGACTTTTTTGTTGTTGTTGTTGTTGGGTTTTTTTTATTTGCCGTTCTCTGTGGAAGTAAAACTGTGGAAATCAGTTGTAACCATGTTTGGTATCATGTTTCCTAACTGACATTTAGTCTGGAGGGAAACCTGCCAGTGAAGTCCATACCTGATTCCATGATACGTTTCTTGTACTTTGAGTGAATAATATATGATACTCACATTAAGTGTATGTAAATGATAAAACATTAAATGCATTCCCTGTCTCTTGTTTGCTGGTTCCTAATTTACCTGCACTTTTCTTTTTATATACTGACCCCTTTTTCACCCTTGTGCGCTTGTTTTTGTGTGTATGTGCTTATGTGTACACACATCTGCGTTAGGGTTGTGTAGCATAGACTCAAAGTTGTATTAAGATATTTGAAGGAATTTTGTGATGATACTTATGATGCTATAGAAATAAAAACAAACGTACTTAACTGACTTAGTTACAGTTAAGTAACTAACTTAACTTTGTAGCTCATATGCAGCTTGCTCAATGTTGTACATAATAAAACTGAACCTAAAAAAACATTTTGTACCTGGGAATCTTGAGGTGGGATTTTTAACTAGCTGCTTAAAGCCCTGCCTTTGCCACCACATAACCAGTCATTTCCGTCCACCATTTCCACTTCCTGTTATATGGACTGCCAACTCCAGCAATGCTTTAAGTGATTTCTTTACTTTTGGGTTTCGCATCACCAGGTGCCAGCATCTCTAGTCTTTGTTGAAACTAATTTGTTGTGTCTTCCTTTAGCAGTAACGGCTTTCTTGCATATTTTGCAACGTACTGTGCTTTGTTAGAGGTTGTCTAAGTAGCTGCCTTTTTCAGTATTAAATCATCGTTTTGACATGCCTGGGCTTATCACATTCTGTGGATACTAGGGAATGTAAACACATGGCATCTCTATAACACTGATTTCGTGATATGTCAGTTTTTTATCACGTAAAATTGTACACCTGTATTGTATTATATGATATGATAGTACACACACCTAATCTGCGTAGCTGTGTGTCTGTGTGGCAAGCTTATTGATTTTTCTGGGGACTCCAGATGGATTATTTATG